AATAAGTTACATTTCAACCTTGGAGGGAAATGTGACAAACTGAGTTATATCCTTAGAAAAACAGTGCTGCAATGGAGCGTTTGGTAAGGCGTTAGCTGTAAATATTACATCCCATGTAGGATAAACAATTAGAGAACTAGGAATGGGAAAGTCATGTATGCATTTGTTCGGTTAATTTGGTGGAGGGGAAGCACATCTATCTATATGTGCAAATTATCACAACGGACCTTCATTAGTTCTCCTAAAAGCGCATATATAAAGTAAACCCTATCCCATGAGAGCGTAAGTCATTAAATACATACTCCTCCAACCAAAAGGAGCATTTAGTGCAAGAATTTTATGGCATTTTCATTTCCCAAATAACGACTTGTCACCATTGAGTCTGGTTCAAAAAAACAGAAAGACAGTTACATGTAAAAACAAATCCAAAAATTTAATAACAACAAAAAATGAAACCTCCCTTGGAAGGGCACATAGCTGAGATTACCACTCAGACTTTTCATCAACAACCTGAAATTAGATTTCTTCTTATAGCCCAAGAAGAATTTTCCAGACTGACTCCAGAGTCTTCCATTAAGTAGGCCAGACAATGTCCCACTATGCCAGACTCTAACAGCCAAAGGAGGATGCCTAAAGGTCACCGCCAATCGGTTCCCACCGGCAAGGATGCAATTACAACTGAGTGTTGCCGAGAAGTAACAGAAAAATCTCATAGCACGCTCTAAAATCCCTAAACTAATTCCAAAACACAGTGCCGGGGGGGTTTTCTCAAGTAGTTTGCCCCAAGTAACAGCAGAGCACAGCGGTTCTTATCTTGCCCTGGACACAAACTGCTTGGGGTCTGCTCTGGCTCCTCCTCTTACTAACTCCCTGACTATGGTCCCCCTGACTTTGGTCCCCCTGACTTTGGTCCAGTGACCGGAACTTTGCTTGACAAAAGTCATCTCATCTGATTACGGTTGCAATATGGTTGTGGCAATACAGCATACAACATGTTTTTATATTTGGCAGACTGGCTGATATAGAGAAACATCCTACAATGTCAAATCAAAAAAAGCACATTCTAAGATTCCAAACGTACGAATATGTATATACTCTGTGTGTTTATAAGCTTCCTTAAAAATATCTGTGAAGGGGCGGTGCCCATGGCTCAAGGAGTAGGGCACCAACCCCATATACCAGAGGTGATGGGTTCAAACCTCACCCCGACCCAAAACTGAAAAATATATATACATACACATATCTGTGAAATATCACAAGAACAGAAAAACAAACACCACACATACTCACAATCAAATTGGAACTAACCGATGAGCACACAGAGGCAACTCTGGGAGAGTGGGGGCAGGTGGGGAATAAACCCTCCCAACTGGTACTTACTATGACTCGGTGTGGGTCATGAACACAGCTATAGCCAGGACTCAGCATTACAGAAGTGACCCAGGGAACCTACAGCATTCGTGCCCTCTTAATATTTTGAAATATTATCTATCATATGTATACATATATTGGTTAAAAAATACCAAAAACTCATGGTAGATCTGTCAGAGTAGTGGGACTCATAAATGAGGGAGAGAGAGATCAGAGAGGTAATAACTAGTGAATTTTCAAGTAGGGAGGAAAAATCAGCTTCAGGTTGGAAAAAAGAAACAATACCTAGAAAAAGAAAAGCGCCTGCGTTATAAAAATAACTATGCCTGGCTGAACCTCAGAGTGTGCGAGGGAAGCCCTGGGGAGTAAGGGAAGGCGAAAAAATTCCGAAGTTACTGCACCTTCAGGAGTAAACGGGGTCGGTAAAGGGTCCTAGGAACTTCCAAAGTTCTGCGGTACTGTCTACTGAATACTCGGATGCCCCACCCGCACCCAACCTTGTGTTCTCTCGTTTTATTCCCTTCAGCAGCTTTGGTGAAGCTATAAATGATTCCTTAATTATTTTGTACACCAGGTTTTGTGTCCCTTTACTTCAGATGCCAACCCTAAGTAGGCCTCAAAGTAAGCCTGATTTTATAGAAATCACCTACTAAAAATCACACAAAATTGCGTATTTCTTTCTGAATGAATGGGATCCCCCCACGTGAACACACAGACATATATGTATTCTTTAACTTGATAACATATGAGCGTTATCAAAGTTCCCCTTTATTTTTTCTTACTTCCTAGCATTCCTAATGTGAGTGGGCATTGTTTTTGTGTTCCCTTAATCACAAACAGTACTCCAGCGAACGTCCCAGAACACGTGTCTCTGCGCACAGGCAGGTGTCACAGGAGCCCGGCTCTCCTGTCGGGGTTTGCGGCCTCCCAGCCTCGCACCACCGCTCCCTTCCCCTCTTGCCTCACGTCTGGGGAGAGCTCGCCGGTGCCAGTGGGAAATTCAAACCGGAGAGCCCAGACCCGCATCACTGTCCCAGCTGATAACCACAGTAAAAATTCAAGCCGCTCACCCGCTGCTCTCTGAAGCCGGGTCAGACTTTCCTGGCAGCCTGCTCTGCTCGCCCCAGAAAGCCTCATTACGTAAAGATTTTTTCCGTAGTCCCTTAGAGTGGGTGGGTGATCCCGCCCTCTACAGGGAATCCGGAGAACTGCAAGTATTCCTGTAAAATTCTCAAGGTTGATTTTTTTTTTTTTTTAATTTTCGCTTTGGATTTTTTTTTTTCTAATTTCAGATGAATGTGAGGGTACAAACAGCTAGGTTATGATGTGCCATATACCCTTATATTGTGCCCCCTAAGCGGGGGCATCTCAAAGCCTCCTCTCCTCCCCCCATCTCTCCAACCCCCTCCCGCGACTTGAACTGAATTGAGTTTTCCTCCCATGTGGGCACGTATTAGATGGTCTACTGGCTTCATATTGTCGTGAAGACATTGGGTATTCACTTTTCCATTCTTGTAATACTTTACGAAGAAGAAGGTGTTTCAATTCCACCCAGGTTAAAAGCCGCACTCCCCCAAAAGTTGCATAAATTTATAACAAATGTTATAATGACCCATTTTTTCACATCCTTACCAACTAAACATAATTAGATTTTTTAATCCTTTGCATCCTGATACGCCAAAAGGGAGAATAAAGATAGAATTCATTGGCCTTAATTTCTAATCCTTTGATTAATAATGAGATTGATATTCTTTTATTTATTTGTAACTCTTTTTCTATGTGTTGGTTATATTCTGTTCTTATTTATTTTTGCTCTTATTTTTCATATGTAGAAACACTTAAGTTATAAATAATATTAGTCTTCATCTTGTGTGAATATTGCATATGTTTTACTTGTTCTAATTTTAATCTCAGAATGTTGTTTCTTGTGTCTTTTTCTTTAGGGAAGTATTTAAATTTTACATAATTACGTCATCCAGCTATTTTTCATGTTGTCTTTTTGGTGATCAGGGATGCTCGGGAGGGACTTTCACATCCTAAGGTTACAAATTTATCTCTCTATGGTTTCTTTTAGCATGTTTATAGCTTCATTTTTTACAATTATATATTTAATTCATTTGAAATTAATATTTAAGTAAGCTGTATCTGTGATACAGTGATTTATTTTTTTTCCAAATGAAAGCATAGCTATCTTACTACCCCTTACTTGATAATCTTTTCTAGGCTGACTTGACATACAGATTTTATCATAATTATATACAAAGTTTCCTTATTCTATATGTTGTGTGCATATGAAACATATATATATATATATATAAACATTGTTGTACTTTGTTTTAATTTATATATGTGGCCATCTATTGCTTTTATAAATGAAATAAAATCTATCTTTATAAAAGAAGTATAAGCTCACTTCCTCCACCCCATCAGGGATGTTTTCCTAGCTTCGAAATTTCTTGGCTATTGTCCACAATAATCATTAGCCTTAATTTCTCAGTTTCCATGCAAATTCCTTCAGTCTCTATTTCAATATCATGTTTAGATTAATTGTGAAAAAAATGATATCATTATTTCATTTGGTCTTTCCATCCAGGACATAGCATATTTTCCATTCATTTAGGTTTTCTACAATTTCCATGATTAACTTACAAATACCAGATTTTAATGAGCACATGTTTACAAACTTTACTGTTTCCGAATGCAGAACTCATACCTACGGTAATATTTCTTTTTTATTTTTCATACTGCCATAATTAAATTAACTGTTACTGTAGATAGCATTTTAGAGTCAAGAAAAGGCTGTGTCTTTACAATAGAAAAAACAGCATTTCTTAATCTATTTTCTAAGTATAATTAGATATTTTATGTACTTTTTGATGTTGCTTGTGGTCATCTTTGACTATCTTTGCAAGAATTAGAAGTTATTTTATTGTAGAGAATTTTATAAAGGAAATATTCTTGACCTGCATTTTTAATATATTTGGTAATAAATATGGAAAATGTCATAAAGAATTCTCTTATCATCAAACAATTATTTAGCAATCACTCGTTTCATAAATTTGATATGCACAGATCATACCCTGTAGTTTCTTTCTGTCAATAATTGGCCTGCGATTGGCAGCACAAATCACTGTTTGTGAATCAGTGGACTCTTTGAATATTATTAACCCTCAACATCACAGTTAGTGACATCCATGTGCTAGAAAACAACCACTGAAGGAAAGCAGATGCTTAGATGAGAGCATCAGGGATTTAATCACGAGAACCACCCTCATTAATGGGTTGTCTGTTCTGGGTAGATGAGGCCAAGAAAATCAGAAGCCAAGATTTTATAATTAGCAGAAAACCCAATCAAATCTGTATGTGGGAGCAGTACTAATTTCTTCTTAAACTAGGCTTAACCTGCTGTCTAAAAGAAAAAATTTATGTTCTGAATTGATGCCATAAGGGAGGTCTAACACCTAAGAAATCTAAATAATAAATTTGTTATGAAATATCAAGAAGCTCCCCTAGACTGCACACTCCATGAGTAGGAAGGAATTATGTTACTAGTAAGAATCAAAATATCACAGGTATCTGTCTCCCATTAATCATTAGCCCTTAAAGTTTAAACCCACAAGTTCACGTACCTCTAAGAACTTCAAATCTCACACATAGAGGTGTTAAGTCCCCGGTTTCAGGCAGTGGCCAATGCGCTCCACCATCGGCTCTGGTGGTACTTTGTCTACCTGCCGTTTCCCTCCCTGACTGTCTGGGTGTCCCTGAGTGCCTGGACACCAGACTCACATGCCTGAAGCTAAGTGGGGAGACCACTGTGAACCTAAAATGATCAAACAGGCCAGAGTCTAATTTAAAGAGTGTTTACAAAGTACAAAGTACAAAGTCTGAGGATGGACCAGCCAGAAACACCACATTCAAAGGAACGGAGTCAGCACTCTGAAGTAGAGAAGTTCAGGTTCCATGTATACATAGGCAGGGACAGGAGGTTTTAGCGGGATTACAACATTGTTCATGAAAAGCTGCCCTGTAGTTGGAGCAACTTGATTACTTCATAGACAGTGTTCCTTCTGCGAAGGGCAGGTTTAACACTTCCTACAGAGGATACAAGAGTCCTGGGTTTTCTGTCCTCTGATCTAAGCAAGCCAAAGGGGGTGGTAATCTATAACAAGCGTCATTAATTCAGAGACAGGAGGTTTTTGTCCCTGACATCATTTAGTTCCTTCCAGTCATTGTGCAGAACAAGAAAAATAAGAAAGTGAGCTAATCCACAATCCAAAAACCAGAAATTGTAACTATATGTGACTCAGATCAGAGTCACATCGCTCTCAAGGTTGAAAGTGTTTCTGGGTTCCAACGTTTTTTAACTTATATTGATTTTCATACAATATTACTCACGTGGGTGTGTGTTGGGGCAGTGGGTGAGACCATCTTTTCAGGAGACCGAGTTCTCACATGGGAACAGGCACACGTCATGAGTCATCACGATGCCGTCCACACCTCCTCTCTAGTAAGCGTGTTAAGTATGCACATGTGCAGAGGGATTGTACCAAGAACTTACACAGGCCCTGGCTTCCAAAAGCTTATGGTCAAGTAAAAGCGATGCTTATTTTAGAAAATAAGAGCAATACAGAAATAGATGAAAATGATCCGATTACTTCATGATGCGTGTTTGAAGAAATCATCTCACTGTTGGTCACCATGTCCTCATAGTGTCTTGAAAGAGACATTGCTACACTTATTTTATCAATATCTCTCTCGTATACTCCTGGAGGCTTTACCAATTGCAGTATAATTCAACTGCCGATTCAAACCTAGACTTGGGCTCTGTTCATGGAGATAAAAAAGGCAAAACCAACTTGTCCAAAACTCACCTCTCTGTTGTTTTCTAGCAGTCAGGAACTGCATAGAGAAAAAAATAATATTTGACATTTCCTATATTCTCATTCTGATGTATGTTTTCATCCCCAAATAACTCCTTGGTTATCATATGCATTCTAGGTTACACAGTAGAACACAGTGATACTATTATGCAAATAATGAAAGAACGTAGCTTTTGGTAGCCACTTAATTTCAGTCTTATACAAATACTTTTAATAATAAAATAGGAGAACAAAGACAAATTTCTAGTATTCCCCTTTCCCAAGTACAGGGAGAAATAGAGTGGCCTGGGACTCAATTTTTACTGCTCTTCACATTACGTTTAAGAGCCGACTCCAAATCAACTGTTAACATATTCAAAAATCTGGTCTTTGGGGGTTTAGGTTCTTAGCATATGGCCTCTCCCAGATTCCCCAGACACTAATTCCTAATCTACAATGCAACGTAGGAAGAACCATTGTCAAAGCTTCAAACACATTGGGAAAGAGAAACTTCCTATCCACTGCCAAAGGAAAAGTTAAATACCTATTGAAATGCATAGCAAAATCCTCTTTCACCAGAGGGCAAAGTAGCTTTCATTGCTTTATTTAAACTTACATATGTTATTACTGTCTGGCACATAAAGTAGCTCAAAGGCTTTCTAGACGGTTCCTTCACTTCATAGGAAAAAAAAAAAAATCTGTTATTTTTTTTCTTCCCTGCACAACAGCCTCGGAATATAATTAACCAAACCTCCTTGCTCCGTAACTAGGGAAAAAGAAAGGGGGTGTTTACATGTTTAAATGAAATTCTTAATTTCTTCAAATCCTGCCACATATTTTAAAATCGTTTTTTTTAATCTCATATTCTGAAGTCCCCCATGGCATATGCTACCTATGAATAAAATTTGTAAACCCACATATGCCGACTACGCTGGCGCTGATCTCACATTATTAGTCAAGCGAAGTTCCTAACTAATTCTGTATAACACAATGTTCCAACACTTGAAGACACTTATGAAATTTTATATTTTTCTTGAACTCATTTTTATTTTGAAGATTACAAAATTGATTTTTAATTTCCTTGAGAAAGTCCTGAAACCAAAAGCCTGTTTAGGTAGTAAAGTTTCATAACACCCATTAGGCTTTCCAGCAGTAGCCCAAACTACTGTGTTTATTCCGTCTTGGTTCCAGACCACATTCCGCTTCTGTTCCAAACAGTGTTTTACCTTCTCATTGGGCCTTTTTAACTGCTGGCTTCCTCTCCGTAACATTCAATAGCTTTTTTTCTAATCCATTTATCCTCTAATGTCCAATTTAAACTATAAAGGTATCACGGCCAAGGTCAGGCAAGGTCCAAAGGTACAGAAAGAGGAAAAGCCTTGGAATCCCATCTTTTCTACCTTGCAATCTGCTGGCGTCCTCCCACCCTACCACCTCTCTCTGCTGCCTGGAGTACCCCTGTGGACAATCTCACCTCCTCCACCGTGGGCCTCACTTTTTTGTTTTCTCATTTCTTTATTTCTGTCTTCAGAAATCACTGTTCTGTTTCATCTCAAATCTCTACTCTCAGACCCTCTCTCACATTCTTCTCCCTTTTGAAATGAAGCCATGAAAGAAAAGAAAAAAAACCCTAAAAATTAAAGAGGAGAAAGTCAAATGCCTGTCCTTGGGCTGGTATCTGTCCTGTTTCATGGACTTTCTGTGTGTGTGTGTGTGTGTGTGTGTGTTTCAAGAAGTCTTTATTTATACACACTAAACTTCGAATTTGCCTTCGAATTTTCACATAGTTCTTTTGATTTTTTTCCCAGCCATATTTTTAAATTTCAGAATATTTCAGGGGTGCTTATATTTTGGTCCTAGAATTTACTTTTGTACACTTTAAGTCCAAGATATAAGTGTGCACTTTCCCTGGAAAGCGTGCAATGTACCAGTTAGATGTGAATTTGTCCAACCTCTCCCCCCCACCTACTTGATTTCTGTTTTAGAGCACATTTTTTCCTTTTGTTTCCTCAAATATTTCCAGGTTGTTTCCCAACCCCATCCCACTCACCTTATCCAGACAGATAAAATCTATTCTACTTTTTCCCTGAGGGTCAATCTTCATTCTTTGTTTAGCAGATTCATCTGTCTGACACATCAAATATGCTTAGAAGGTGGTTAGCCATCCGCCAACTTTAAGGTCAGTGGATTTTCATAAATTCCCCTTCCCTTTGTTCTGTATCAAAGGACTTGTTTTATTTGGGGAAGTTGAATGTCATGTAAAATCCTTTGGTCTTTGCAGTACATCCCCTAAACTAATGCTGCTTGTGTGTTATCACCCGTACCTGGATCATTGGGAATATTCAATGCCCCTTCTTTCCTCCAAAAATAGTTAGTGTGCAAAGAAGATAAAATCTCAATGATTCGGAGTTATTGTGTATAGAGTCTTCTAGGCGCCAGGTGTGGAACTAGGTCTGGGGACTACGAGGATAATGAGATGCCGTCCTTGCCCTCCAGCACAGCCAACTGAGAGATGCTCCCTGTGCCATGTAGTTAGGGCTGTGATTGTGATTATCAAACTATTTTTAAGGAATTTGGGAAAAGGCACCTAATCCAGATTGGATGAAGGAGGTCCTGGAACATTTCCAGGTGCAAGTCACACAGTAAAACTGAGGCTGGGCTGAATTTTGAAAGACCAAAAAGATATGGCCAGACATAAAAAATGAGATGGAAAGAGAGTACACCAGAAAAGTGTGAAACATTTACAAACATCCCCGAAGGTAGAAACTGAGGTCAGATGTGGGGAGCTCAGCACAGGTGCTGGGACGAGGTTGGGAAGGGAGAAAGGAGCCCCACACTACTGAAGGGCCATTTGTGCCCAGCAGGAGTCTGAATTTATCTCAAAGACTAGAGGGAATTACAGAATAATTTACACCAAAAAAAAGGGAGCATGATCCTGTGTTAAAATATTTGAAAACCATTAAATGTATACAAACATTAAATGTATAAAAACACCATCTTTGAGGACATACAAATTTGGGGCGTGCATACCAGCTCTACTTGTTACCTGTGTGACTGAGACACATTTAAGGGTCAAAACTCTACTTTCTTCATTTATATAAATGGCAACAGAACCTGCCAGCTGTGATGAGCATAAGTGACAAAGGGAATCTGTCAACAACATCTAATGTTTTCCTTGTGTGCACCCTACACTCGACTTGGTCCCCCTCCCCAATCTCTCATCCATTCTCCTCTGACTGACTGCTCTGTGTCTGAAGTCAGATGGCTACGGACAGATATTTTTTCTGACTCCCTTACCCTCTGCTTCATAGCCAGCGGGAGGTGCCGGCAGGACATGGGAAGGTGGGAAGAGAGGAAAGTCCGGAAACTTCTCCCTCATTCTCTCAGCTTTGCTGCTGCTGTTCTGGTGGTGGCTCAGGCCTTAATACCAAAGCTTAGCCACAGCTCTACTCCTCACAGCATTCCAGGGGTCCTTTTTCTCCCCTGTAGCCTTCAGATCCCCCACTCTGTTCACCCCAGCATGCCTCAGCACCTCTGCTGTTTTCTTAACTTTGTCCAACTCAAGAATTTTTCATTATATCAAAAAGACCCAAAGCTGCAGATGCTGCTGTGGGTGTGGAGAGAAGGCAGCACTTCTACACTGCTGGTGGGATTGAAGCCAATACAGCCCTTTTGGAAAGAAGTATAGAGAATCCTCAAAGAGCTAAAAGTAGACCTTCCCATAATCCCATTACTAGGCATATACCCAGAAGAAAAAGAATTATTTTACCAAAAGGACATTTGCACTAGAATGTGTGCAGCTCAATTTACAACGGCTAAGATGTGGCAACTACCCAAGTGCCCATCAACTCACGAATGGATACATGAACTGTGGCGTGTGTATACCATAGAAGACTATTCACCCATAAAGAGAGATGGAGACCTTACATCTTTTGTATTTACCTGGATGG